AAAAAATAGCCGGGCGTTGTGGCGGGCGCCTGTGGTCCCAGCTGCTTGGGAGGCGGAGGCAGGAGATTCGCTTGAGCCCAGGAGTTGGAGGTTGCTGTGAGCTGTAGTGCCACGGCACTCTGCCCAGGGGGACAGCTTGAGGCACTGTCTCAAAAAAAAAAGAAGTAAGAATTGAATTACAATATTCAGATATATCAATAGGCTTGTTTATTTTTAAAAGTCAATAACATTAAAAAGTTATTTTTATTCCTTTTCTAGAAGAATCAAAAGAATCTGTGGCTGATGAAGAAGAAGACGACAGTGATGATGATGTTGAACCTATTACTGAATTTAGATTTGTGCCTAGTGATAAATCAGCATGTAAGTGTTCTGTAATAGTCTTCTCTGTTTATGTGCCAGGTATGCTCCCCTCATTGATGTATACAGGTACACACAGAACTCTCGCCTTCACCACTCTTCCCTCCATTCTATTTCTTTGTCTTCATTTTAGAATCTCTAGTATCATTGAGGACCAAATACCTGTTAACATCAAAGGCTGTGAATGTAGTGAAAGTATTGTAGATAGGCTGTTACCTGGTATATTTTGGGAATTGAGGAGTCTGGTTAGTTTTACTAGGTCTGACAATTAAGTTCATGAACTTGCCACCATGGGCTTTTGTTGGCAGCAGTGTACAGACAACTTGGTAAGGTTTCATGATCTTGGTGTATCAGTGTCTCACAGCCATGTTCATTTCAGCATGTGGTGATTGTTAGTATTGTTGCATGTTTTGTTTGCCATCTCAAGAATGTCAGACTTGAATTAAAGCAACAAACAAACATTAGATTTCTTGTTAGACTTGGCAACAGTGGAAGTGAAATCAGGGGCGTCTTATCCAATTTTATGGAGATAATGCCATGAAGAAAATGACAATACACAAATGGATTAAATGTTTTTCTGAGGAGAGAGAAAGCGTCACTGATAAAGAAAGGTCAGGGTGGCCAGTAATGGGCAGAACTGATGAAAACACTGCAGAACAATTGTCCAATTGTGATTCAAAATTGATGGCTGACTATGAGAAGCATAGCAGACCAAGTAAACAACGATAGAGAAATAGTTGGGAAAATCTTAACGGAAAATCTTGGCATGAGGAATGTGTGTGGAAAATGGTCCCGAAGGAGCTAACTGACGAAGAAAAAGAGCTTACACAGTACTGTCCGTGAGGGAGATTTTAGCCAATAGACAAATAATTGTATTGGAACATCTTCCCTACTCAGCTGATCTGGCTCCCAGTGACTTTTTTTATTGACCTGAAGATAAAGGAAATATTGAAGACATTTTGAGGACATAGAGACATCAAGGGTAATAATGGTGATAGCTCCGATGGCCATTCCAGAAAAAGAGTTCCAAAATTGCTTTGAAGGGTGGACTAGGCACTGGTGTCAGTGCAAGGAAACTACTTTGAAGGTGACCATAGTGATATTCTACAGTGAGCTATGTAGCTCTTTTTCTAGGATGAGTTTGCAAACTTAATTGTCCTTGAATTGATTGATGCTGTTGATGTGAATCTCACCTAAGGGATGGCAGAGGAGTCACAGCAGTTCCAAATGGAAAATGCCAGAATAGCTGGAAAGAGCCCTCTCAGCTGAGAAGGGCTTGATACTGATAATCTGACCAAGACTCTGGCCCTTTTTCTCAGAAAATCCAACTAGTCATGAAGAGATCTTACTAATATCTTGAGATGAACTTTTATTACTTTGTGACTTGTTCAGTGCCTCAAGTCCTTGAAGATCAATCTCATGTGGAATTTGGCAGGTTTTATAAATATTGTAAACCTAGTATACCTTTGTGTATCCATTAAATTTATTTGCCCTGATGGTTATTTGTACTATAAAATTTTATTTTAGGTTGAAAAAAATATTAGTAACAATTTAATTTCCTTGTTCAGTGGAGGCAATGTTCACTGCAATGTGTGAATGCCAGGCCTTGCATCCAGATCCTGAGGATGAAGATTCAGATGATTATGATGGAGAGGAATATGATGTGGAAGCACATGGTTAGTGAAATGGATATTTTTAAGTATTTTTGTTTGTTTCGTGTTTCATTTTAAGTGTGTACTAGGGATAGGAGATTGTAGTTCTTCATTTCTGCATGAATTACCCAATATGATTTTTTTTTTTGTTTGAGACAGCCTCAAGCTTTCCCCCTGGGTAGAGTGCCATGGCATCACAGCTCACAACAACCTCTTAACTCCTGAGCTCAAGCGAGTCTTCTGCCTCCGCCTCCCAAGCAGCTGGGACCATAGGCACCTGCCACAACGCCTGGCTACTTTTTGGTTGCAGCCGTCATTGTTGTTTGGCAGGCCCGGGCTGGATTTGAACCTGCCACCTTAGGTGTATGTGGCTGGCGCCTTAGTCAGTTGAGCCACAGGCGCTGAGCTCCAATATGATATATTAATAAAAGTCAATGACATAGTGGTGTGCTTTATACCAGCGGTTCTCAACCTGTGGGTTGCGACCCCTTCGTAACATAGAAAATACATTCTGCAGATCAGATATTTACATTACGATTCATAACAGTAGCAAAATTACAGTTATGAAGTAGCAACGAAAATAATTTTATGATGGGGAATCACCACAACATGAGGAACTGTATTAAAGGGTCGCAGCATTAGGAGGCATTAAGAAGGTTGACAACTAGGTGGTGCCTGTGGCTCAAAGGAGTAGGGTGCCAGCCCCATATGCTGAAGGTGGTGGTTCAAACCCAGCCCTAGCCAGAAACTGGAAAAAAAAAAAGGTTGAGAACCACTGCTTTATACCTAAGCTCTTTGCAGTAGACAAATTAGAGAAGTGCTTCCTAGCTTAAGGGTAAAAGATTTTGCAGACTTTCAGATTTTTTGAAAGGAATGTGTATTTTTTTTTTTTTTTTGAGACAGTCTCAAGTTGTCACCCTAGGTAGAGTGCTAGGGCGTCGTAGCTCACAGCAACCTCAAACTTTTATGCTTAAGCAATTCTCTTGCCTCCGCCTCCCAAGTAACTGGAACTACCAGCAAACCGCCACAACACTGCCCGGCTATTGTTTTTGTTGTTGTTGTTATAGTTGTCATTGTTGTTTTAGCTGTCCTGGGCCGGGTTTGAACCTGCCAGGTTTTCTTTTTTTTTTGAGACAGAGCCTCAAGCTGTCCCCCTGGGCAGAGTGCGTGGCATTACAGCTCACAGCAACCTCCAACTCCTGGGCTCAAGCGAATCTCCTGCCTCCGCCTCCCAAGTAGCTGGGACCA